AACCACCTCAGTTTGGATTATAGCAGATGGTGGATTGCAGTGCGAGGGGTCGTGGAGACACCGCATTCGAACCTGGTTGCGTCCCTCCTCCACACCACGACAATGTCTCAGACTGCCTCTTAGCCAAATGGCATGTACATTGTCTGGTTGGGTTGTCGAAACTTGAACTAGTTGCAGTCTTCTAATGATTTCGGTCTGATTCCGAGTTGAGATTCTCGAATCATAAAGCAGTCAACAGTAAGTGCCAGTCGAAGGATGGCAAGCTGGTTCGAACAAGTTCGCTGTAAGCTGATTGGTGTTCATGTGACTCACGCCGACATTACATTGGTCGAGGTTGTGAGCTCTCTCCACAAACACTCTTACGCACATGCACTCTCAACGACACGTCATGCCTTGTGCGTGAACATGCCGACCTGTCGCTTACTCACTTGGCGCCGCCTTGACATCGCAGCAACACAACAGCACAGTGCACTAGTTGTCACAGGCAAAGGTTTGTGTGCCAATCGCACGGCAATTTGACGGTGCATGTGATGCTCGCGAAAGTGCGTCCGATTCAGCACACGTGCCGTCTGGCGGTGTTGCACTAACACCGAACAAGTCAACTGCGCACTTCTGACGAGGGCTCGTGTTGCGTTCGCCGCAGCATCACCAACTGCCGCATTTAATGATGCGATCACCGCTACAATCACACATTCACAACGCACACGCACACACGTACACACATGGGAGAGATACGTACGTTGCTGGTGTCGTGTGACATTCCTGCGTCATTGTGTTCTGCCTGTGTACACTTCGCATCGCATCCTGGGAACGGCATTCGTCGAAATGCCATCCAATTACCAGTCGCCGTTGATTTGCATCATAAAACTGGGCACCACGCAGGAAGATCGCCAATCTGGCTTGGTGACTGATTGCATCTGATTTCAGTGGTTAGGTGCACGAGCACTTTATTGCCAGATCTGGTTCCAGTGACGTTAAACTTGAGACCTGCACACTTCACCTCATATCAAATTGATCGATATCATGTCCAGTGTACCAGGTGTGCGTAATCATGTGCAAACCAGGGTGCCCACGGTCGTGCCACCGAAGACGCTATGTGGACTGCACTTCATTACAACCCACACGGTGGACTACAACTGTTGCTTGGTGCTGATACAACCCACAATAGCCCGTCTAAAGGAGAAATCTTAAATGCCATCTTGTCTACCAGGTTACATTCACCAGCCTTGCTTCATCGACAGCCACCGAACAGACGCGTTGCCTTTTTGAATTCCCACACAACTTGAATGCACCGCGTTGTTGATTTGAACAAGCCTTGTGATCGCTTCCACTTCCACGCGATCACAGCTAACTGACAGCCACGGCACTACGTCGACAGCAACAGCTGCCAGGCATCCAGCCTCACACTTTCACGTCGACTCCCATCTCGCCGTCTTCCACATCAGTCATTCCTCGCGATGCCTCATCCACCAGTGCTTCAATCACGTGTGGATAACCACTTGGGCCATTTTCACCTTCCCTTATGCACATCGCAGTCATCCATTCTACGTCCAGTTATCTACCAGTTGAATCGCCCGCACTTTGTCATTCCTTCTACTATATACTCCCATATCAACACACCTTCAGCACATTCACCACCTAAATCGCATTCCACGATTTGGTAACATCCGTGAATCCTGACCAACACCCCATCCTACTCTTGACGCCACTCACGGATCTTCACAGCGTCTTTCTCGTGATGTCGCGATCGCAGTTGCTCCCATGCAGGCAGTGCAGGCACAACTTCAAAGTGTGTTCATTTTAGGTCCAATGAGACCACGTTTGTCAACATCGCCTGTCCATCTACCATCTCGAGATACTTCCACCAATTGGTCAACATCGTGGTTGCTGCCATCAATACTTTGTCACCAGCCATGCCGGTAGTGGATTTCTGGCCTCCCAACCTGTCCACCACGAGGTTCGTTACACCTCCACGAAATCCCCACATGCCATCGTCACTGTCCTTCGTTTCTGTGGGTCAAATTGCATGTCCACAAACAACCACCCACGACTACTGCTGATCTGCTCCAGTTTCCGACATCCATCACCTTGACATCCACCGTCTGCTTCAATGGCCTCATGCAAACTCCTCTTCGTAAGGGTCCAAAATGCCCAAAATCTGTCAAATCAACCACTTTACCTCGTAAGCATCAACACTTACCAACTGTGATGTTAACGACCACCCCTACCAACTGCTTCCAAACCATCAGCATGAAGTTCAATTTTCTATCAGTCAACGCGGCAGTAGTCGCGGCGATCTGTAGCATCATCAAACAACGACACACAGAACAGACGAATGTTGTTGTTTATGCATCGCCGCCTCAACAATTCATGAGGCCACCGTCTGTGGCCGCCCTAATTGACCACAATCGCTGCGCTCACCTCCCTACCTTCCGCGCTCCCTCCCTCCCTCCCTCCATCGCTCGCTCATGCCTAATTCATGACGGCGCTCAGTGCACCTGTGTGTGCGTTTGTGTGTGTGTGTGTGTGTGTGTGCGAGGATAAACCTCCACACAATCGTCGCACACGGCAGATTTTCCTGGGTCTCTATCTATTGCTGTCGTCGTCGACTTATCGTCTCCACTTTTGTCGGTTTGCGCAGAACACCGTGAGAATACACAGCCCACCGTGGCAACCACACTGCCACAATCGTCAAGCATCGCGCATTTTTGGAAATCACACACAAATTGTGTTAACAGACAGGCAGGCACACACATGAGATGGTCTATAAATTATGTGTGGCTTTTGATGAATAGCAGTCATTGAGGTTAGTCAAGTTATGAAGCGATTCGGAGACGTCTAGCCAAATGCCATCTTCGCTGTCTGTTCGCTTCTGAGGAACTTTATGATTTGAAGTGGGAAATGTTGCAAGAAGACCCAACGTATACCAATAAATATCAGATGCAGGACTTACTTGTTCGAAACCTTTGATATTTTGATTGCTCTAATGCCTTCCTACTACGCTGTGTGCGATCAGCCAAAGAAATTTCCCACTGTGTGTGGAATTATTTTTGCAAATAATGCACACATTTTTTCCTCACTGCACTGGGGATTATCTGATAATCTAGCCTCTTCTCACCCGACTTTTTCACAAAATTTTTCTCTTTATATAGTTCATAGAATGACAGATCGCTGGTGTAGGCCTGTCACCCTGAATGCATTCAAACCAACAAAATCTTTAAAAAACGATATCTTTAACTCCATAATGTATGTCCTATCACTCCAGATAACTGTCTTTAAATGTTGTGGAAGTCTTAATTTCATTTTTTTGTAAAAAATGTGATTTTTCTTTTTAACTTAAGCCGTTGGTTAGTTCTTAACGTCTTAGGAAGATACAAAGTAATGCCACTTGAAAAATTTTGCCAGACAAAACTTGATCAGAGGAATACGTTGGGTCTTCTTGCAACATTTCCCACTTCAAATCATAAAGTTCCTCAGAAGCGAACAGACAGCGAAGATGGCATT